CCCCCCCCCCATCCACGATCTCAAACAGGTGATCTCGGACAGGCAGGCGAGGAGGAGGAGGAGGAGAGGGGTGGGATGTCATGGGTGGAAGGAAAAGACCCATAATTTCACGTAATCGGTCACCCTTCAGCTGACCTCACTCCATTCCATTTATAATCTCGAGAGATGTCTCCAATATTCGCCGCAAAATGTCCCAGCCTCCATAAGCCTTGAGCGGCTGATCTCGTCCGCGCAGCACTGCCCGGCGCGATCGCCGCCTCCGCCGGCAAAGACGACATAATCGATTCCTCTAATGCACTATATTGATATTCACAGATGTCATTCGCGGAAACGACGCGAACGAAGAAGCACTCTACAACGACGGCTCTCGCTCTCCTCGGGACGGAGTCTGCACGATCAAGCTTTAATGAAGTCGCGTTCTCTTTACGCCTGATTTTGAATGGGTGCGTGGTCTCTGAGGTAGGTGGTCCCCCACACACAACCGCTTGCTCTCTACCGGAAGCACGACGACGGCCCGGCTCGACTTGTCTATAAATATTGTTCTAGTTCCTCCGCGACGTGAGCGTCTCGGTCTCGGTGCGCCGCCGCGCGATGTCCATCGGGACGCTCGTCGGCACGGCCTGCCAGATCCTTATCGCCGAGAGACGAGGAGGGAACGGAACGGACGGAAGAAGCGGATCGAAGCGAACATGTATGTCCTATCAATCCACACACAAGACCGAGACCGCTCACGGCAAAAACACAAGGAGAACACGTCCGCAACTCCATTTGGAGCAAAAAGGAAAGAAATAGAAACAGTTTGCTCAATGACAAGTCCGCATTTCTACGTCGCTTATGTAAATGGATGAGAAAATGTGTTATCTCAAACGAGCCAAAACCGATGAAACCACCGTTTAGAAATGCGAAACGCGGGGATAAAAAAAAACACAGTGCAACCCACACAGGCCAGACAAGCCGCGTACACTTATCAGAGCCGCATTGGCAGGCCTGCGGCCTGGTCGGGCCACAGTGTTGCCAACCGTCGCGCCGATGTTGGAGATCCGGCCGCCGCCGATCGGCACCGCGGTATCGAACGATCGATCGATCAAACCGATTGGGGGCAGTGTGTGGACAGAGCCTGGCGGGCCAGCAGAGAGAGGGAGATAGGTAGAGAGAGAGAGTTTGGCTCAAGCGGTCTCAAGCGAACGGCAGCCGTGTCGCATATAATTGGCAGAACGAAGCGAAACCCTCTTTACGAACAAGCAGATCAAACAAGCATGACCCATAACCTAGCATGAAGGACCTGCGAACATAATGTGATAACCAGCCCGGAGGCACCTGATAGGCTGTATAGCAGCGGGCAAAGATTTTTGTCAGTTCGCCGCTCGCGCTTTTTTTTAAACTTGTTATTGACACCGCGGCGGCGGCGCTCGCGGGAGGAGATCGACCGATACGGACCGGCCGGCCGGCGTCAGTCTTCCCTCCATGTTATAATGACTCAATCCGCGACGCCTGTCCATCCGTCGTGCCACGGGGGATATCGGTTCGGCCGCGACGACGACGACGACGAGTTTAACGGCGCGTTTTGTTGGCAGCACACGGACGCACCACGTAAGACAAATAATCCTTTTAGGGCCCCGGGGGCGAGAACTTATTATTGGCAACAAAGTTGCGAGGCGGAGCTATCAGATCCTCGCGGTCCGGCCCAATAACGAACGTGTCTCTCCCTCCCCCACAAAGTCAAACCATCGCGTGTCCTCTGCCTGCGGGACCGTGCAGCATAGTCTGGACCGGTGTGGACACATTAGGCCTTCCTTCACCACGGCGGGGGGTGGGGCCTGAGCCTCTGGTGGGCCCCACGGGCCGGTACGGTGCCAGCCACTGCTGCTGATAGTGGGCCTGCAGATAGCGAGGGTGGCGGGGCGGGGCGG